TGTCTACAGGACACAGCGAATGGGGAGAGAAAGAGGCAGACCTTGTGGATGGAGAAGCATTTTACAGCTCCTTAAGAAGCGGTGGTGCCGCCTCTTGTTCTGCCGCCATCCCACTTAGAGTGTAGCTAAAGATCACCCACAACTCTGTTCTCACTTTCATCGTGACGTAGTCCCAGAAAAATGAAATGCATTTATGCATCCCCTTGGGTAGTTATAATCCATATTTTATGCTCCATCCCCTTTGAAATCAATATGAAACAGAAAAATGGCATGAAAAATATGGATGATTATTCATTATGTATAAAACCTTTGAATAATGCATCAAAGATCCATTCAAATAAATGGAAATAATGTATTCTAACAGCTTGGCCACAAACTAGTTGGAGATGTTGAGTTATGAATGGCCCAGCACGCCTATGACTCATTTGCCACACTGGCTATAGACAGTTAATGAGCAATGCAAGCTTGAAACCCATAGGCGCATGGAAGTTCTTTCTTGCTGTTTCCTGAGTGAAGCCATACAATTCCCTTGAAATTGTGAGCAACGATAGGAGGCCTGAGCCCTGTAGAATTATGCTCCCAGACACAGGCAGGATCTAGTAAATTAAAACCCATGATTAAGAGTAGCGTGGGGAGAAATGCCACTGGATTCAAAAGCCAGAAGTCCAGCAGGTGATCTCAGGCTCTGCAGCCTTGAGACATCTACCCATGGCCACAGTAATGACGCCATTGTCACAATGATGATGCCATTGCCACAGTGATGGTGTCATTGCCACAGTGATGATGCCATTGTCACAGTGATGATGCCATTGTCACAGTGATGATGCCATTGTCACAGTGATGATGTCATTGCCACAGTGATGATGCCATGGTCACAGTGATGATACATTATGAAATGCTCTGCCCTCAGGAGCACACAAGGTAAGCGTGTAGTTCTGCACGGGAGCCCACCAGTCGCTGGGCACTTCTGCCCATCTGAGTTGGACTTTAGCGTCTTCATTCAGTTCGAGGCCGCTAAGGTCCCTTTACTGCTCTCGCCCGAGTTCTTGTGTGTGCCTGGTGCTTTGGTTCTGAACTCTGAGATGAATTCACACATCCGCCAGCCGGAGAGTCCATTCAGAGAGTGATGACAGAGTTAAGGCACAAGAGCAGACTGGAAAATCTTCAGAGGATCATAAAAATGGGTCAAGGCGATGGCTCGGTGAGTGAGGATGAATGTTGTGCAAGCATTAAAAACCGAGTTCAAATCCCCGGCACCCACACAAAAGCTGGGCTTGACAACAGTGACTCTAACTCCAGTATTGGAGGCGTAGTCAGGTGGATCCCAGAAGTTCAGTGACCAGCCAGCCTAGTCAAAACTTCAGGTGCAGTGGAAGACCCTGGCTCAAAAGAATAAAATGGATAGAGATAGAAGAAAACCTCCTCTGACTCCACATGAGCTCTCTCTCTCTCTCTCGCTTACACACAGAATCTTATATTTTCGTGTATTGCTACCTAAGCCAGATTCTCATTTCTAGAACCAGAAAACAAGGAGGAGTCCTGGGCTTCAGAGCCACCCTCAGACAAGTCCTTAATCACCCTGGCCTAAGACCCAGGACAAGGACCTGCTTTACGGTCTTTTCTGCCCCTCTGGAAGTCACCAGGAAAGTGTAGAACCATGAGGTTGTTTCTCTCTGGAGAACATGGGTCTTGTCTCTCTGTTTTTAAAAGACCACCCCACCCGCAGCACTGACAATCAGACCTAGGGCCTTGCATGTCCTAACCAAGTGTTCTCTCACTGAGTCCTATGCCAGTCTCTTTGCTTTTGGAGACAGAACTCCTCATGCAGGCCTGGATGACCTCAGCTCTCAGCCATCCTGCTTCCATTGCCCTGCTAGGATTACAGGGGTGTATCACTATGCCTGAAGAGCTGTTTTGGGGGTTTTTTGAGTTTTGTTATTGTTTACCCAATTGTCTACCACTGGGTGTGTTTTTGAGATCTCCTATGGCAGCAGAGAACTTTCTGTCTGATATCTCAGTCCCGTGTACGTTTGAATAATTTTCTTTCTAACTGCACTTAAAGTCAGCGCGGCCCTTGTCTGTCTGAGAGCTGATCTTCTTGCTGGAAGCCGCAGCTGCGGAGTCTTCCCCCGTGCAATATCCCTCCCACTCCAGTGGTCAGCCAGCAAGACAGACTGCCAGTAATGTTTTATGCCAAGCACCCATTTCTGGTGGCTCTCCGATGCCTGCAACTCCATCTCTGCAGCATCTGACACCCTCTTCTGGTGTCCAGGGGCCCTCATACTCGTGCGTGCGTACATTCGTGTAGACACGAACACACCAATCAATCCCTATAAAACATCAGGTGACCCTGAATGGGATATGCTGAAATGTTTTCACTTAGCACCGTGCTCGAAAGATCGAGGAAGCGATGATCCGGAATGAACTGTCCAGTTCTTCCAAGTGAGGGAGCCTGAGGCTGGAGACCCCGGGCAGTGCAGTTTTCAGAAATCAGCCTTTCAGACAGCTGCATATCTCGCTGCCAGGCTGCAAGGCTGGGATGGGGATTATCGTTGTGGTACAGAGGCCTTCAGAAGACCTAGTGGCCCCCATCACCGTATAGCCAGGCCTCTGCTTTAGGGAGTGTGGTTGAATTGACCCGGAGCTGTCTTCCTTCTAAAATGCGACTAAAGGCTAACAGCAAACAAATCCCTCTTGAAACGGGAGCCCATTTAAGATGGCTTTCCTAAAACCCTCTCTGAATCGGCTATGATGTCACAACGTTCCTGCGAGTGATATCTTTGGTGATTACCACTGTAAGGAATAACCAGGCACTCCTGACCCGCCCAAGTGCCCTTCACTTTCCCACGGGGCTACTGTGCTACTAAGGGGTTTTTTGAATTTGTACCTGAGGTGTTCCTCCACTTCCAGCAGCTGTGAAGTCTTTTCCTTATACCCCTCCTGCTCTTAAAATGCTTATGGATGCTCCTTGTGGGTGGGTGACTGGTTTGAGGCCGAGCTGCAGAATTGCAATCACATTTTCTTCAGAATGAAGATTTTGACCTTGGGCGTCTTTAGCTTGGTTTTGTGATTCCGTTGCTAGTTGTTTTATAGTTTTACAATCTTTATCTCCAGCGGCCTTATACATATCTAGGAAATGCTATGTAATCCTAGGTTCAGGTGAGATTGGCTTTTAAAATCTGTCCCTTCTCTCTGTCTTTGCTGTCACCTTCCAAACCATAGATCTCGATTTTATTGTTACAAATTGCTTGATTCCTACTTTTTAGACAGACTACAGCCACCACAGATTTGTTAAATCCTATTTGTCTGGATCAAAGGGAAACCCGAACATACCAGATGGAGATAGTTTGAGGGAAGCACGTCCAGGCACAACCAGAGGGCCAGCTACTTTCTAGTTATGGGCGACTTGAGCAGTCTCTCAGAAGTTGGACAGCATCGGGGATCGATGTGAACAGGTGAGCAGTGTTAGCGGAAGGGCCTCGGGAGGGTCCTTTAGAAAGCCATGGTAGCCCCAAGAGCCTCCCGGCCCTTTGCCCAGATTCCACAGAGTGGCGAAGGGAAAGTAGTTCATGCACGGAGCACTTGCCCCTTGCCACGCTCTGAACAAACCAGGACTAGAGGCCCACTATAAACCAGGCATCTCAGAACCTGTGGCCTGCTTCCCTCAGCCCTGGGCCTGGGATCCTTGGCTGTGTTGAGAGGATTGGAAGAAGATAATACCGGACTTACTGGGGAGAACGGCTGCCTTTTCCTGAAGGGAAAAATAAGTTTGAGCTTGTGTAATTACATAATTTAACAGTAGGTGGCAGTACATACCCACCTTAATTGCAGTACAGGCTGGGGGGGGGGGCAGCAGTTACATGGATTTCCATGTTTTCAAACATTTTTAAAATCAGACATATGAGCAATACATGCCAAGTATCTCCATCTATTTAGGATAAAGAAAAGCATACATAAACATCAGATATTAGTTCCCTGTGGCAGTAATGTCACCAGAGCAAATTTGATATCCTCTGCCCCAAAGCTGGCTTAGACTGGCCCGCTGTGGTCCCTTCTGCCCCAGGAGTCTCTCCCTCTATGAGACTTGCTTCTCCACAAGACTGGCATGTTAGAGATGCCGTGACTCATCAAACAGTACAGAAATGTGGTTCAGCTTCGAAAACTGGTCGGGACTTAGAGTCGAACCCACGGCCTGGCCATGTTCATTACCAGTGTTTGTCCCTTCTGATTCCGCTGCCAAGAGCCTCCTTACTGGAGTTCCAGAATCCTGGTGTGATGAGCTCTCGAGAGGTGGATGTCCTTAAGCTGGGTGTCGGAGGCGCTGTGCAGAAGCACGTGGGTTCAAGGCTGAACATGTTGGGGTTTCCTTACGTTTCTTGGCGTGGACAAACCAGTGTCTTTGTCTTTGCGTGACATAAGTGTGCTTTCTCTGTTGGCTTTTGACACCAGATTTAGAGGCTTCCATCACGTGATCTGGTCTTGCTGGAGGAGAAGGAGACTTTCTGCAGAGAGCTGGAGTCCTGGCGTACCGGCTCCAGCGAGCTTCTTTGGGTTGTCCTTTTTAAACAGAATCCTAAGTAACATCACACAGTGTTATTAGCTGAAGTCTGGTCATCTTGATTGACAGCCTTGTCAACACAAAGCACCCTTGTGTGTGTGCCAACTATGTGTTTGTTTTTCATGGGATGCTATAACGTATACCTTTAAACCCCAAACGGATGTGGGCAGAAGAATGGAATCCTGGGAGTTCCTCTACTAAGATTTCCATTTCTAGGAGAGAGTAGGCTGAGGCAGGATTGCCAGCCTGGTCTCCAGTAGCAAAATCCTGTCCCAACAGTTACAACCGAAAAGGAAATGTAGGATGATTTGGGTCACTTATTTCTCCACATGAAGAGCACATGGCAGCTCTTTTTTTGTTAGTAAAGTCAGCTTTGAGTCTTTACGGCCGGGCCACACGGAGCTGCTTAGAACTCGTGTCCTGTCTGCTTCCTTCCGCCCAGGTTGCAGAGTGGGATGAACCTCCAGATATGCTTCGTCAACGACAGCAGCAGTGACAAGGACAGCGATGCCGATGACAGCAAGACTGAAACCAGCCTGGACACCCCCTTGTCGCCCATGGTAAGTCCACACGGCCCCCAGCTAAGTCATCGCCTTCTTCTCTTGGCCTTGTGCGCATCGGGACCTAGGAGCGGCCATTCCCGGGAAGCATCAAAGCCACGACACAGTAGGGGTAAATAAAGTTTATTAAAGTTATTGACTATGAAGGAAATCGCCTAACACTTTTAGAGACTGTAAAAGGAGGGTGAACAGAGTGGTGTGTGCTTAGGGGGCTGTGGCAGGAGGATCCCAAATTCAAAGTCAGCCGAGGCCGCATAGTGAGTTCAAAGCTGACGGGGGCTCAACAGAAAACTCTCATTAATATACGTATGAAAGAATCCTTCCCTTCTGGGTTTAGAACTAGGAGCTCAGCCCTTTCTCACACGTTCTAGAAGTTACGAATAATCACAAATGCTAGCAGCTAACATGTCCCCCCCTCCCCGTGTTGTTCCCTTGTACCAATGGCCAGCAAGTGTGTGTTGGCCCCTGAGCATGGTGCAGGTGCTATCAGATGCCTGCTCCCTGAAGACCGTCTCTGACCTTCGCTCTGGGTTCCACAATTAAACATGACCCCATGATAATAACTTCTGCCACTCTTTCTGTTTGTGCTCAAAACAGAACCATTCTGAATCGGGCCCTTTTTAAGGTGTCGTGTGACTGACTGGTCACAGTGAGGTCAAGTGGGTAGTGGAATTGTTTCCAGGACAGACAGACACACACACACACACACCAGCCATGCTGAGAGAGGACCCAGTTGCTAGTTTCCTTCTCGGAATGCTGGGCAACTGGAGTGAAATTTGAAACTGCTCTTTCTCCCCTCACAGAGCAAGCAGAGTTCGTCCTATTCCGATAGAGACACGACCGAGGAGGATTCTGAATCCCTGGACGACATGGACTTCCTCACGCGGCAAAAGAAGCTACAAGCCGAAGCCAAAATGGCCCTTGCCATGGCCAAACCCATGGCCAAAATGCAAGTAGAAGTGGAAAAACAGAACAGGAAAAAGTCTCCCGTCGCTGACCTTGTAAGCAGCGCAGGCTGGCCTGCCAGAGAGCGTTCGGGGCCAAAGATGGGTTCTTTCCCAGAGTTATGCAAACTTGGGTTTCTCTGAGGCAGTTTGTCAGAAGCACTGGCAATTGAGAAAGAACGAAGTCTGTTTCTTTTTCCCTTCTCCTGTCACACAAAAAACACATGGGGCAGCATTTCACAGAAGTAAGCTCTGCCCGTGTTCCTGTGTGAATACCACAGCGCACTCTTGCTATCAAGTCTCGCCCCTGCCTTTTGAGATGTATGCATCAGTGGGCTTAGCAGTCGCAAGAGGCTCTGCCTCTGATCTGCTGCAGGGGTCTGACATGTGACTCACGTGTGTGTTTTCTCGTGTGTGGTGTAGACAGCAGCGCCTAGGTGACGGTATGATTGTTGAAGCCGCAGTACATCATACAGGGATGGTGACAGGGTATCATGTATTTAAATAGCAGCCGATTCTGTTCGCTTTACCCATTCCTGTTACTTACCTTCCCCGTACCTCGTGTGTGTCAGAGGCCAACCAGAAAGCCTGCGATGCAGACAGCGTATGATTTGGGATACATAGGGCGTCACAGTTAGAAATGGATGTGGGAAACGGGTCCACCCCTGGGAAGCTCAGAGGCTGGGAAAGCATTTAGGCTTCAAACCTGGAGAGAAGCGGGTGGATGAGGGTGGGTCTCCCACGAGAGGACAGGGTCTTTCCTGGGGTCTCTGCGGCTCTGCTCAGACCCCCACTGCCCGTTTTGTGTCTTCAGCTCCCACACATGCCTCACATAAGCGAATGTCTGATGAAGAGAAGTCTGAAGCCCACGGACCTGAGAGACATGACTATTGGGCAGCTCCAAGTCATCGTCAATGACCTCCACTCCCAGATTGAAAGTAAGTGGGGCCATGTGCCCCGTACGGAAAACGTTGAGGGGCGAGGCTGCTTTGTGGGGTTCAGTCCTTCTGGGGGGTGTCTTCCCTGGGCCTGGCTGAGCGTGCGCACACTCGAGACAACCATAGGACTCTTTCTGTTGTCCCCTTTCTAGCTATAAAATGTCAGGCGCTTTCAGACTTGTCCAAGGTTCACCGTGGTTACGGGGCCTTTTTAAATGACCAGCTCCTAGCACGGGACATATATTTAACATGCCTCTATTTCTGGAATAAACTTCTACAGCTGTAATTTTACACAGTTAGCCCCCCTCTACTTTACTCGGGTGCCCGTTTGTTTGAGGGATCATGGTCTTCGCTCGTATCAGATGACCCTTCTATTTTAGGTGGTGAGTGCATGTATATTTACATATATGGAAAAATTGTGAAGTATAAGATTTCCCCCTCAGTATAAAGGGCCTTAATAGAAGCATCCAGAGAGGGTGGGGAGCTGGTGGGGGTGGCACTCACTGGAGAGAGCAGGCAGCATGGTCAGCCAGATGATGTCTCCATCCCTCCAGGTCCTAGAATATGGCTGTATAATCCTATGGATTTGCAATACCATCAAATGCATTCAAACAGACATATTATTGCTATTGTTATTATTGTAGGTTTGCTAAAGGCATTGGCAATCTTGTGAGTCTTAAAAGCTCTTTCTTTTAGAGACGCACATTTACAAACAAGACCGTGTGTTTCTGTAATTGCTGTAAGTGGTCTTAGAGACTCAGGAGAGTGATGATTCAAACTGGTCCTTGTTGATGCCTAATGGAGTCTGTGGGGATTCATTACAAAGATTTCCCTGCTGTTAGTTTGAATTTTTTTTTTATAATAGAAAGTTTGAAGCTTAAAACGGGCCTGGGGTGGGTGCAAAAAAGCAAATCTCCCGTGCACTAAGGGTTCGAATATGCAGGCACTCTGTTGGGTGGTGGTGGAGAAGGCCTCCCAGGAGCAGCTGAGAAAGATAATTTTTTTTTCCACCAAATCCAAATAAAAACTGAGGTTATCTAGATAATACTGTTTTACAATCCAGAGAAAGGATTTAGAATTTTAACATTTTTGTTGTGTTTTGTTGTTTGTTTCACAAAACAGGGTTTCTCTGTGTAGCCCTGGCTGTCCTAGAACTCGCTCTGTAGACCAGGCCGGCCTTGAACTCAGAGATCAGCCTGCCTCTCCTTCTACCGGGATTAAAGGTGTGTACTACCACCACCTGGCTATTTAGGGTTTTATTCACAGGATGTAAATTAACTTTAATTTTGTTTGACTACTGCCTAAGGGCTGAGAGGACTTGCAGGATTTCACCACCCACACAGCTAACTCTAGACTTTTCAATAATAAAGTTGCTGTCTAATGCTTTTTAGGAGCACGTGGAGTTTTTAGAACTCTATGTGTGATTTTTTTTTCCTTCAAGACTTGATCTCTTCTGAACTGAAGGGCACAGAGGGCTCATTTGAAGGCAGAATCTCTGAAAACACGTCCAAGGGGCCCGTCGCAACAAACCTACCCCCTCCTTTGTCTCTTAGCTCACAGTTCTCTTCAGCGCGTGTTTTCCCTGTGTATGGACCTAGCAGCTATAACTCTCAGCTTCTCTAAGTATGAACTCTGCTTTTTCCTGAACCACATTGACCCAGCCCACTAATGTCAGGTGGGGGCTAGAAATGTTTCCATATTCATACGCTTAGTAGAGGACCAGGTCTCGGGAATATTCTCACTACACTGTCTTCTGGATGTCTTTCTTCACATCTTACACATCCTACTATACCAGAAATCTAACTTCCCAGTATTTCAGACAATGTTCCCAGAACAGCGCCCTTCCGTTGGGCCATGTGAAGGCTCTGGGCATCCTGGATGTGCCTGCCTCTCCCAGCTAGTTGTCACATGTTAGAGAGTGGGGAGCTCCTAAAGATAAAGGGCGCATAAATTAATACCACCTAAAATCTGTTCTCCACACTTCCTCAAAGCCCTGGTTTTTCTTTTAAAGACATCTTATTTAGCCCATAGGTTTTAAATTGTGTGTTTAGCGCATCTGTATGACTGTTTTGCCCACATAGATGTCAGCACACCGCACACATGCAGTCCCTGTAGAGAACAGAACAGGGCGTCAGGTCCCCTGGCACTGGATTTGTGTGTGGTTCTGAGCTGCCAGGTAGATGCTGGGAACAGAACCCAGGCCCTCTGCAAGAGCAACAAGTGCTCTTAATCAATGGGCCATCTCTCCAGCCTCTAAAGCCCCGCTTTTCCTAACAAGCTTTTCTTCTAGCGGCTAGCAGTTTCTTTTCTGACTGTATTATGAAGGAACTGAAAATAAAGGTTGGGTATTTCTAAATCTCAAATGTTGTGAAATATCCAAAGAGTTTGATAGGGGCACTTAATTGACCAAATCTTTTATATAATCATCTAAATATAAACAATTGTGTAAATATTCTAAGACTCAAAAAACTTAGAGAGCAGAGACATTTCTGGCCCTGAACATTTCGGGTAGGAGATAATGAACCCGTGGTTTGTTCCTCCTCTTCGGCGCCTCTTTAATTTTACAGACAGGTCGTGCTGCTCCAATGGGTGTTTCATCTGCACATGTAAGAAGCTAATATAAGAGACCACTGGAATTTAGATCCCCAGAAACCTGTGTAGGTGCTGAGTGGGTACTACGCCACCCATAATCCCTCCTCAGGAGGTAGAGACAGCAGATTCCCAGAGTGAACTGGCTAGCAGGACTAACTGTGTGAGTGAGCCATGGATTTGATTACAAGGCCTTATTAATCTTTCCCTACATAATTTTGGGCCTTCTTTACATGGATGGCTGTCCACCCATACATGCAAAATCATACATATACAAACATGCAAATCACACATGTACACACACACATAAAAAGTAGAAAAAGATTCTTTCCTATGATGTTTAATTCTGCTATGTATGTATATATACTTTTGTGTCTGTGAACATGCATAATGGGTCCTACATAATTGCAGGTTCTGATTTGGGTGTGGCTTGATATGTTTTTTTTAATTGATTTTATTGAGATCATACATTTTTCTCTGCTCCCGTCCCTGCCTGCCCCCTCCCTTTCAACCCTCTCCCATGGTCCCCATGCTCCCAATTTACTCAGGAGATCTTGTCTTTTTCTACTTCTCATGTAGATTAGATCCATATATTTCTTTCTTAGTGTCCTCATTGTTGTCTAGGTTCTCAGGGATTGTGATTTGTAGGCTGTTTTTTTTTGTTGTTGTTGTTTTGTTTTGTTTTTGTTTTTTTTTTTGCTTTATGTTTAAAAACCACTTATGAGTGAGTACATGTGATAATTGTCTTTCTGGGTCTGGATTACCTCACTTAATATGATGCTTTCTAGATCCATCCATTTGCCCATAAATTTCAAGATGTTATTTTTTTCTGCTGTGTAGTACTTCATTGTGTAAATGTACCACAATTTCCTTATCCATTTTTCAGTCAAGGGGCATTTAGGTTGTTTCCAGGTTCTGGCTATGACAAACAATGCTGCTATGAACATAGTTGAGCACATGTCCTTGTGGCACGATTGAGCATCCTTTGGATATATACCCAAAAGTGGCATTGCTGGGTCTTGAGGAAGGTTGTTTCCTAATTTTCTGAGAAATTGCCATACCTTTATCCAAAGGGATTGTACCATTTTGCACTCCCACCAGCAATGCAGGAGTGGTCCCTTTACCCCACATCCTCTCCAGCATAAGTGGTCATCAGTGTTTTTGATCTTGGCTATTCTTACAGGTGTAAGATGGAATCTGAGTTGTTTTGATTTGCATTTCTCTGATGACTAAGGATGTTGAGCATTTCCTTAAGTGTTTTTCAGCCATTTTAGATTCCTCTGTTGAGAGTTGTCTGTTTAGGTCTGTGCCCCATTTTTTATTGGATTATTTGTTCTTTTATTGGATATTTGCTATTGAATTCTTTGTACATTTTGGAGATCAGACCTCTGTCTGATATGGGGTTGGTGAAAATCTTTCCCATTCTGTAAGCTGTCCTTTTGTCTTGTTTTCCATGTCCTTTGCTTTACAGATACTTCTCAGTTTCAGGGGGTCTCATTTATTAATTGTTTCTCTCAGTGTCTGTACTATTGGGGTTATATTTAGGATGTGGTCTTCTGTGCCAATACATTCAAGTGTACTTTCCACTTTCTCTTCTGTGAGGTTCAGTGTGGCTGGCTTTATGTTGAGGCCTTTGTTGATGTGGTTTTTAACGTTCCCTCTTTTGACCCAGGTTTGAATGAAGAGTTGGTCCAGCTGCTCCTCATCCGAGATGAGTTGCACACAGAGCAAGATGCCATGCTGGTGGACATAGAAGACTTAACCAGGTCAGTCTGGGCAAACCGAGGTTAAACTAAAGTTGTCACTGAGGGCAAGAATTATCTCTCTGTAGCTTAATTCCTTTTGTATCTAACTCACCAAGCAGCTGTTGACATTTGCCATTTAAAAGAGAGGAAGAGGCCCAAAGTCCCCTTTAGGAAACGCGTTATCTTTAATCTCTATGTTTAGGGCATGAATGCTTATGCTCCACCATACATGTGGAGGTCAAAGGACAACCTTGAGTGTCTGCCCTTGACTTCCTGTTGGAGACAAGGATCTCGTTCTCTGTTGGAAGCCCATCTATCTCCAGCTCCCATCTCATGGGAACAGTCCTGAGATGGCACAACATGCTACCTTGTCCAGCTTTCTGTGATACTCTAGTTGCTATTGTTTCTGTTGCTGCCACAATTGCTGTGACCAATGCAACTTAGCGGAGGAGAGAGTTTATATCATCTTACAGGTTATGGTCCATCACTGAAGGAAGTCGGGGCAAGAGCTCTAAGGCAGAAACCATGGAGGAACGCTGTTTGCTGGCTCCTTCACTGTCCTGCTCTCTCACGTTCATGCTGGGCTCACTTCTTCCTATGGTCCTGGACCACTTGCCTAGGGAATGGCGCCCCCCCCCACAGTGGGCTGGGCCTTCCTGCATCAATTAGCAATGGGGACAACTCCCACCCATCTGATCTTGGCAATTCCTCCATCAAAGCTTTCTTCTCAGATAACTCCAGGCTGTGATAGGTCAACAGTGAAAGGTAACAAGGCCCATGGTTCGAAACTCCAGTCCCTACACTTTCTAAATGAACCCTCTACTCACTGAGCTGACAGCTGTCACTCCACGGGGCAACAATTCTAGCCTAGAAGGACTTCATCCTGCAAAACTGTTCCCCCAAAGGCAGTTGATGCTCATCCACTCCATTCTGTTGTTCCTAGCACAGGAGTAACCACGTGGTGGGTGCCACAAAGAGATGCCAGCTGTTATGTGGCCCAGCTCTTGCTCATGACTGCCATGCTGGAAGGCAGGGGTCCTGGCATCTTTCCACTGCCTGGGTGCCGCCAGATTGTTCTCACCAGGGGAGGGGAGATGGGGAATGCTAAGATCTGAGTGTCAAGCTGGACATGGCACCAGCTGCCTTGCAGGTTAGAGGTAATGAATCAGGCTAGTGCTGGTCAGGGAATTCCACTTCTTCTTAGCAGCTCTTCTCTTAGGACAGCACACCATGCATACACAGACTGTATCATACGTCTGTGTTGCAGATGAGATACACATGATACACATGCACGTGAAACACTGCAAGTATCCCAGTGGTTTCAAGTGGACCGTGGCTCCTTTCCCAAGATAGTCCACATGCCGTTCTTAAACCTGGCGATCGCAATTGCTGCGAAGCCCAGACGTGTTGAGAGAGGAGAGAGAGGCTCCCAAGAAAGAACTTTGTTTATCACAATGGCATAAAGGCATTAAGGATGTGCCCCGGAAGCCCAAAAAACACAAGCAGTGCCAGCGCCCTCAGCCCTGCCATGGGACTTCACCTCGATGGGGAATATGTGGTAAAATGTGTTTCCAATCACGCAGTGTCACTGAAACAGTATTTGTAATGAACAAAAGCTGCGTGCTGTTGAGGCTCAGTTTTAAGACCCACAGTCAGCACTTGCCTCTGAAAGCCCAAAGGTGATGTCAGGAACTGTGCTTGATCTCTGCTCTCCCACCATGGCTAGTCTGGCTAACCAGCTTGCTCTGGGGCCCCCATCTCTGCCTTCTGAGACAGACTGCAATCACACCCAGACTACAATTACACTCACCCAGCATGTATGTGCACTGTGGGATCCAGACTCCGGTCCTAACGCTTGAATGGCAAGTGTTCTAGCCACTCCCCAAGCCCCCGTTCTGTGTGCTCTAAGTCATCCTACCCCTCATCTGAAAACCCAGATTCTACTGTTGCCACCTGGAGACCTATTGGGCCATCACACGTCAGCAACTATAGGGATCCCCATTCTATTGCCCGAGAATTCAAGAGTCGTGGAACTGAAAGGGTAGAAAATCAGCAGTGAAATACACAGCCAGGCCCTGTAGCTTACAAAAGAAGCCTGCGGCTTCCATAGGCTCCCAGCTATAGGTGGTGCCGGCACTCTTTGCTGAGGGAGACACTAAGGGAGACACACACACCCCCCCCTTTTCTCAAGGTGTTCAGCTTCATCTCAGTTTCTCGGTGGGCCTGTTGTGTAGACAGGGTGATTTAAAGACAGATCTTGGGGTCAGGAGATGAGGAGTCGCCAGCTTGGAGGTGACGGAGGAAGCTTTTCCATTGGAGCAGTGTTTTAATAGGCAGGGAGGTGGTGACCCCTTGAAACCCTCCACTTAGAGGGAGAAAGCCATCCTACTGTTACCACTGGGGTGGAGGGACCGCACATGGGGTCAGGGAGAACCAAAGGGTGCTTAGCCATTCCCAAGGGTAGTTAGTATCAGAGAGACTTCTGGGAAGTTTGCATCCCCAGTTTCCTCTGCCTGTTCTACCGTCATCATTATAGATGTCAGGTCAAATCCGGTCAGTTCTGCTCCTCTCGCCGGAAGTACCTGGGGATATTTCTAAGGCACAGATGCCTGGGTCCCACCCCCCAGAGACTCTGATTTAATTATTCTTGGCCTAGACTAGGAATTGGGCTTAAAAGTTTCCAGGTGATTTGAAAATTGCGTATATCTCTTTATTTAAGTTCTCTCTGCCCCTCTCCCCAAGAGCTTACTTCTTGGTAGATATTTTCCCCTGTGCTGACTGTCAGGACCCTACACCACCTCCTAACTCTGGTCAACTGTTATGACCTTGGAGTGCTTGATTCTAAAAGACCATCCCTGGAGACAGGCCCTGTGCCGCCGTGTTTCCCACACACAAGCCCATGGTGGGTGTTATAGAGGGGCACCAGCAGTCAGGATGCCAAGACCAGCTTGTGTCCCTCCTCTGGGTCCTCGCCACTGCCCATCCTCCCTGTGAGTATCATCACGCTGTCATAGTGGTTTGTTGTTTCTCCCCAGATGACGATAAATTCTCCGCCCTGAAAGCGGAGATGATACTATCTGAATTCTTTGTCGTGTCTCCAGAGCCTAGTACTGGGCCTACCATGCAAGTAGTAGGTCCTCTGTAATGGCTGCCCATAAAAAAGAAGTTTTTGCAAGGCTCGGATGAGGCACATCTTGTAAAGGACTTCAGTGTAAAAATGATTAATAAAGGGGTTGATTGAAATCCTTTCCCTCCTAAAACTTTAATGAAATCCTTCCTATATATGTCCCAAAAGAACATAACGCGCGCATTATTTTCTGAAGCCGTTTGCTGCCCCTTTTTCTTCCCTTTGCAGAAAGTCTCCCGAGGTGTGCCCCTGTGTACGCAAGCGCCTAGATGCACATTAAAACCAGAACTGTGATTCAATTAGCTGGAGTGAATCTCCATCACAGAACACCAGAACGTTCCTCGAATTGAATTTGCCCGAGATGCACACCGACTGCACTGTGAAAATGAGCCATAGCTCTTCATCCCCATCAATAGGGCCATGGCCTTCTTTGTGAGGGGGAGGGAAAGCCAAACACAGCCTTTCCCTGGGCTCCTGGATTGCTAAACGCGCCTTGCCGCTTGTTCCTGAGTTTCTGCATGTGGCAAGGATGCTGTTGTCACCGCCCCAGGTTTTGAAACTGCGTGTGGTTTGTCTTCTCTGCACCACAGATAGGAGACATTCTGCATGAAACCAGGGCTTTAGGTGTGGCGTCACCGGCTCCCCACATCCAGACAGCACACATGCTGTCCCCAAACCTTGATGACAGCTAGAAACCGCGGCCTTCATCTCTCACAATATTTGTCATTTCTTAAAATCCTTCTTCATAACATTTCACTTTGGCAGCCTGCAGATCCTACAGTTCTTTGGGTTGTGCCTGTTCAGGGGTTGCCAAGAACCTGGCCATTCATCCCCTCCTGTCCGCGTGGCCCACCTTCTGGATTGGCCGAGTTTCACATTGCACCCTCTTTGGCCCTGTTTTATTGTCGTAACTGTGCTCTTTGGATTAACTGGGGATGGGGAATTTGTGCTAACACGAGAAATACATCCACAGAGAGCTCTGCAGCACGTATTTGACGTAAGCTTTCGTAGGAGCAAGTTAGCTAGCTAGCTCCAGGTTCCTATCCGCCTCAGTTAATGCCTCAAATCATGTGCGTTTAAATGGTTGCTCAGCTAACACCCAGCCACTCAGTTGCAGCACCTGGTTTTGACTTGTTTTTCTTTTCTGGAGTAACCTGCTGGGGCATCCTTCTGTTCCTATCGAGCTGAGGTCCCACCTTTAATGTCCGGTTCCTCTCTGTTCTTCCTTCGCCATGGGTTCCCTTCCTGACTGTCTTCACTGGAATATTTTCCTCCAAAGACCCCACAGCCTTCCTCAGCCCCAGATGCAATGCCTGGCGTGTAGGAAACACAGATTCAGTATTCATCGAGGCAAGGATCCCAGATGCTCGCCTCTTGACATCTTTCAAACACAGCACTTTCTTCTTCACGGAATTAATATGTCAGCCTCACGTTAGTCCCGTGTGTCCCAAAACCAAGGGACCATAATCGGCTAATATAAAAACTAGGGCAGTTGTCATAAACCACGTATTGGGGTTATGTTTGTTTAGTCCAACCACAATGGGTTTATACGTTTCGGGGTAGGGCGTGTGGATTAGAAATGTGTGGATAAGAGGAACTGAGAAATGAAAGAAATACAGAGACGTAGGATAGAATAGACCCGGGAGGGCAGCTCAGTGAATACCGAATCCGGCTGCATTTATTTTCCACATGTTTATATACCCCAATCCAAAAGGGGAGGGGGGAGGCAAAAGACTGCTTTACCACGACACAAAGGACAACCACAACAGTTATTTGCTTCAATACTTGAGACGTCCAGCCGCTATTTCCTGAGTGAAGCTTTCTGTTGTTTTGGGCAGGATATGCAATGAATACACCTTAGACCCAAGTACCCTGTAGGTGCCCACTCCCTCTGTCAAACCTCCTGTTTTAAAATGAAGAAGAAGGAATAGGCTTGAATTCTCTGACCTTGGTTCAAGGTGGAGCAGGTCCACCTCTGCGGGTCCTCTTCACGTCCACAACCCCAAGTAACCACACCCTAGGTTAGGACATCTTGTTGTCCTAACAACTTTGAAAGAGCCAGAATAAGTTCAAACTCTCTGACCTTTAGTAAAGGTGAAACAGGGTTCACGTGTGTTTCACGCGGGTCGACTGAGCTTGGAGAGAGTGCTCTGCCAGGGCTAACCCGTATTTCACGCGAGTATATTATAACTGTTGGTTGAAAAGCAGTGCAGATCTTCATCGTGCTGAGTAACTGTATTCTTGATTTTGCAGACACGCTGAGAGTCAGCAGAAGCACCTGGCAGAGAAAATGCCCGCGAAGTGAAAAAGGGGTCATCCGCCAGAGGACGAGCTAGAATTTATTTTGCTTCTGTGGTTGTGAAAAAGAAAAAAAAAAAAAAAAAAAAAACGCTGTTGCTAAAGGCGGCTGGAAAACAGACATCAGTGTTAGTCATTGGTAATGTCCGAGCTTAACTGTCCCGTGACTGGCCTTCGCTTCTTAATTTATTTTAATTTTTTTTACTCCTGCCACTTAATATCGGGCCTTTTAATGAACTGTTGTTACCAGAAATGTACAGTACTTACACCACCAACAACCGTGGATGAGGAGAGAGCAGTTTGACTTTGTTTTATTGTTTAGAGACTTTAAGTTGGAGCGGTATTTTACCATTGACTCCTTTCATTCTCCACCGTGGTTTTGAAGCGGAACTGTAAATGACGGTGCTATACAAGTCAAAATACATGCCTGCCTCGTAGTGAAGTCGTAGCTCTCCATACTACGTATATTTTAATCAGTTTTCAACATTTCGTGAATGTTGGACTACCGGAGGTTCATTCTTAGACGTGTTATTAACATTCTCTTGGATCCACGTGGTTCCTTTGAAAGTTTTATGTATAAATATGTAAAATAAAAATTAAAACTTTGTTTCATATGATATGTCCTTTGGCTCACTAACAAAAACTGGCCGGGCCTCCTCGCCCCTTTCCCTTTGTGGCTGAATCCCCACAGGAAGTCCCCCGTGGTGAAAGCCGCCAGTTGTTGCAAAGGCAGCAAGGCAGGAGAGAGAACAGAACGTGGGGGATGTCAGAACCGGCATTTCTGGGGCTGACTAAGCTGCCCACTTGGAACATCACGAATTCCTTAATGACTGCTCATTTTGTTGGGGCCGAGGCAATCTGAGGCAGTCAAAACATTTACCAGTTTACCACATAGACAAACGGTGTTTGCAGTTTTTTTGTGGAACTCGGGACCTGTGATTACCTGTACACAACCGGGCCCTTTGGCATTCTCTCCTGAAGGTGGGGAGGGCTCACGGAGCACGCTCCTCTGCCTGGGGATGTATGAACACGTAGTAGTTGCTGGGTGTTAGCAGGACTGTGCTTGGGGATGTAGCTGTCTGCAAATGGCCCCTCTAATTCAGCTCCCTGGTTCATCAGGATAGACACAGGTGGAATCATTTTGCTGCTCTGTTGTTGGTGCCCTGTCTGAATTAAAGGCAGGCATTTGTCCAGGCTCCACAGGAAAACCAATGCAACCTGATGACCGTGTTTCTAAGGCTGCTTATTGGTGCTTATCATCTTGAAGCATTTTCACTGGTCTCAAAGTTTATCAGCTCTAAAGGAGGTTCTAGGCTGTTTCCTGGTAAGGAGAGAGTCAGAGTGTACCCTTAATTAGCTGGTGTGCACAGGTGGATTAAAAAACCATCAGCTGAGAGAGATGAGCAGTTCACCAGCCCAGCTACACCCCTCAGTCACCTGGTTTCTCTGTGAAGTCCACAGTATAAGGCAAGATGTAGCATGAATTCTAATTGGTTTTAATAATAAAAACCTGGAGTCAGCTATCAGGGATGAGAGCTGAAGGATCAAAGAAGCAGAGTTGCCAGCTACTAGAGAGTTCTTACCTCTGCCGATGCGCAGACCGAAGGGCAATCCTGTCCTCAGACTGCCTCCTCAGACTGCACTGAGCCCCTGTCTCCTCCCGCCTTATAGTCCTCTCTCCGCCCAGCCATATCACTCCTTTCTCCAACTCCCTAGTGCTGAGATTCAAGGCCTGTGACTCCCACGTGCTGGGATCACCTTTGTGTGAGCTGTTTCTCTTTTAGACTGGATCCATTTCAAGTAGCCCAGGGTGGCCTTGAACTAACAGAGACAGCGAGTATGCCCCAAGTCCTGAGGTTAAAGGTGTGTGCCACCACTGCCTGGACTCTTGTGTCTTAGCTCTGCACACTGATCTTCAGGCAAGCTTTATTTGTTAAAACACAAACAAAAAGGGGCTGGAGAGATGGCTCAGAAGAGCATTGCCTGCTCTACCAAAGGTCCTGAGTTCAATTCCCAGCAACCACATGGTGGCATACAACCATCTGTAATGGGGTCTAGTGCCCTCTTCTGGCCAGCAGGCATACACACCAGAATATTGTATACATAATAAATAAATATTTAAAAAAAACACACACAAACAAAATATCACTACAACAAGACTTCAGATACCATTATCCCATCCCCTTTTCTCAGATGGAATCAAGCATTGGGAGTCACCGAAGGCATCACTGTGGGTCATGTTTAGCAAAATGGACCATCTTATGTTGGAACACTCATCACTTTTTCATGGTCTTAGTCAGCACTTCCATTCCAAATAGAAAAAAGCATGCGTGCCTGACTGTGGCCCGGTGTGGCCAGGCCTGATTGCTGTTGACTATTGAACTCCACCCAGTTCTCTCTGCCATGCATCAAGCCCACAGCAGAAATCAGCAATCCACTGGCCCTTGGCTGCTCCCACGGGGCAGGCCTACGGCTCTCACATGCAGCTGTGCACACTGGTCTTACTGCAGCCTCGCTGTCTCTAGTAGTATAACATTGATTGATTGATTGATTGATTGATGATTGATTGAGGGTGAGTGGGCAGGTGCCACAGTGCATGGAGGGGACGACTTTCAGAAGCTGATTGTCTCCTTTCCACTCTGTGGCTTCCAGGCTTTGAGCTCAGGTCACCAGGCTTGGCAGCAAGCGCCTTTGCCCACTGAGCCATCTCATCTGCCCCTTGGTACCTGCTGAAGGTCCCCAAATGCTCATGTTGAGAACCCCCATCATAGAGTTTCTTTTCTAGCTTTTGTTAAACCACGTTTTTAGGTGTCAAGTAACTATTTTTTTTTCAGGCTATTATTTTGCACCTTTGGGAGAGTACGAGCTTAGAAAAAGCATGAGCAATACCTCTGCCCAAGCAAGAGAGAGTAGTTGGTCCATCTATGCCTCCCGCTCCGACTCCCGCAGCTGGAGATGACGCTGGAGCTCACTTGCCAAGAAAGACAGTCTTAATTTTTAAAACCCTTGCCAGGATTAACCAACTCCGATAAACTTGAGGAAGGTCTCCTGTCTTAAGGAATGCACTCTCCGTAGCTACGCCCACACAGCTGAAGAAATCCACAGCCTCTTCACCCATCCCCCAGCCCATAACTATCACTAAAGAACGCCAACTCAGGAAGAAAAAAAATCCAGGAGAATGCACCAAAAGGGGCCTCTCGAGATACTCCCGGGCCAGTCTTGCTAACATTAAAGTGGTTCTCAAGACCCCTGAGAATTTCAAAGGGGGACACTCTCGTTTTGCTGGTAGCCACTTCACGCCCTTTCCTTGCCCCAGGAGACTCACCTCCAATGGTAATCTTTCCAGGCCTTCTCAGTCCGTCTGCTGAGGTGTGCCAATGAAGACTGGGCTAATCTCAGCAGCATCCTCACCCACACTAGGTCACCCTTCCACAGAGAACTAGGATGCCTGCAAGTTAAGCCAGCTAGGTGAATTGACTCAAAGATAGTTCACCGCCTCTCTTTCCCATATGAAGGGGGAGGGGGACACTCAAGAGTACTCAGGCCCTAGGGCCAGGTCTGGCTAAGAAATGCTCTACCAGCTTCCTAGGAGTGTGATCGATCTCAAGAGAGCCACTGAGGCTCTGTGTCTTGTCACCTGTTAATGCTGTCTCTGGAACCACCGCCAAGACTGGACAGAACAACCATGTTCATAAAAGCACCCGGCATTCACAAGAAGCGCGATGAGAACCACTGAATGTACAAAGTGGAGATGCTGACGGAAAACATTAATCCAGCCACGTCCGTGTTCAGTCTTCCTCCCTCCAAATATCCATGCCAGGCCATGGGGTGTACTTGGATAACCCTTCCTCTGTACCTGCATGTAGTAGGAGCAGCAGCGGGCTGCGTCCCGCCACCCGGCTAGCTTTACGCGAAATAATAACACAGAAACTGTATTCTCTTAAACCCTGCTTGGCCCATTAGCTCTATCCTCTCACTGGCCAACTCTCACATCTTGATTAACCCACCTCAAACAATCTGTGTAGCACCACGAGGTGCTGACCCACCAGGAAGGATCCTAACCTGCGTCCATCTTGGCGAGAAGAGCTACAGCGTCTGCCTGAATCTGCTTTCTTTCTCCCAGAATTCTGTTCTGTCTACTCCGCCTACCTAATTTTCTGTCCTATCAGGCCAAGCAGTTTCTTTATTAATTAACCAATGAAAGCAACAGATAGATACAAGACCCACCTCCATCACCTGCATAAACAGATACACATGTGTAGGCTTTGTGTTCCAATTCGTTCCTACAAAGTGGGGTTCCATAAAACAGCACTCTGCGACTTGCTCTGTCCCTGGAAGCGCACACCCATTAAATACAGGAATGTGGTGTTTGCTTCTGAGTCTGCATTGTTTTGCTCAATGCGATAATTTCCATTTCCGTCTCTTTCTGCAAACGTGCAGGCACTTTTTTAAACTGTACGTCCACGCCATTTAACCGCGGGTCCAAGCTATTGTTTTTCAGCTGCGTAAAATCCCTGTGCTGCTGGCAAGTGCTTTACTCAGCCAGTCCCCTTTCCTTGGGGGAGCTTTCCAGAATCCTGCCACTACGTCATATTTTTGCTTCCGTCTGTGCTGCCCTTTTACTGTCACCTAGTGTTCGGGTTCCACCTCAGAGTACCGGGAACTGTCACAGGGAAGGCCACTGCAGAGACGTTTGACACTTTGCAACAGCGTTAGACCTCCGTCTGACAAACGCACAGCTCAGTTCACCTTTAAACGCCGAGCCTGAATGACTCTTTGGTGCTGAAACTCTCTCACACCTGCCTCCACAGCCTACAAGAGTTCTGTCAGACTTTTCTGTTTCTCGTTGAAGAGCAGAGGCAATCCTGCCTCACTTGAGTAAATGCAGCTCTCGGCAAAGAACTGAGCTGACACCTGTCCTCACTTGAAGACACTCGGATTGACTGACGCCTCTCCCCTCTTCCTAATGGGCAGTGCCTCGTAGCTGAGCGATGTGCCCTGTAGATTGGCTTTCGCTTGGGTTCCTCTCACAGGTGTCAGGCTTAATTACAGTGATTGGTTCATTTTT